AAAAAAAAAAATTAATCTCAAAAGACCAACATCTCTAATACGATGAAAACGTTCAATCTGAAGGGAGTTTGTTGGATGATTTACCCTCATAATCCTGACATTTATTTATAGGCAAAAAAATTATTTCAAATATTAGATAGGAAAGATACATGGTTGTCTTTGTACCCTATCCTATCATAACAGAATTTTAAAGATGTTAATCCTAAAGATAATAAACCTAGATTGTATTCCTATCCTTATCAGGACAAGCTAGTGCCTTTCCATAGAAATGCTCTGTTCAATTTTTTTTTATAAGATATCTACTGAGGTATAATCAAGTGCCTGGACCAAATAAATTGTATGCTACTCAAAATAGAGAGAACTGGTTGCATTCTTCTATCATATGAAGAGACTTCAACAGCTATATAGCTAATGTTGTTTCTTCTATACCCACCAAATCCAAGGTGTTGCTCAAAAGGTAGTTTGATAGCCTTCTCATGTTTAGAGAATTTATTTAGGCCTCTAATATCCCATGAAACAAGATTAATTATTGGGATATACTCCCTTCTTATGATTTGGAGCTAACTGTTTCTAAACAAAAACTGAATAAGCAAGAAATAAATTTTTTCTTCAGTTACAGCAATTCAAAGAAATAAAGCCATCATTATGAGTGAAGCTGAAACTAAAAGCAAAGGGTGATGGCTTTTGTTAAAACCACCCCTTTTGGACTTGGTGCTATCCCCACCAANTAGATTGGACACAATGGACAAAATCCATAGTTTTACACCCAACTGTGGAACTATTTGTGTACTATGTAGAGCTGATCAAGAATCTCACTCCCATCTATTTTTTGAATGCTCATACTCAGAGAGAGTTTGGAGGAATATCATCAGTAAGTGTGATTGGCCATGATGATCTTCTTCTTAGCAGAGTCTCATTGAGGCTATGTCCACCCAATAGAAAGGCATGAATTTGCAAAACTCAATTAGGAAGCTATGTCTTGTTGTCACAGTTTATGCTATTTGGGGTGAAAGTAATCATATAATTTTCACCAATGAGTATAAAGATCCAGATACTACCCAGATAACGGTTTTGAATATGGTGAGAAGTAGGCTTCTCTCAACTACAATCAAGGACACCCCGCTTCATAGGCAGGCTGCTTCTCCTTGGCAACTTCCTGACTCTTGTTTTTGCACATGATGTAATATCAGATTGTAGNTTATCATAACAGAATTTTAAAGATGTTAATCCTAAAGATAATAAACCTAGATTGTATTCCTATCCTTATCAGGACAACCTAGTGCCTTTCCATAGAAATGCTCTGTTCAATTTTTTTTATAAGATATCTACTGAGGTATAATCAAGTGCCTGGACCAAATAAATTGTATGCTACTCAAAATAGAGAGAACTGGTTGCATTCTTCTATCATATGAAGAGACTTCAACAGCTATATAGCTAATGTTGTTTCTTCTATACCCACCAAATCCAAGGTGTTGCTCAAAAGGTAGTTTGATAGCCTTCTCATGTTTAGAGAATTTATTTAGGCCTCTAATATCCCATGAAACAAGATTAATTATTGGGATATACTCCCTTCTTATGATTTGGAGCTAACTGTTTCTAAACAAAAACTGAATAAGCAAGAAATAAATTTTTTCTTCAGTTACAGCAATTCAAAGAAATAAAGCCATCATTATGAGTGAAGCTGAAACTAAAAGCAAAGGGTGATGGCTTTTGTTAAAACCACCCCTTTTGGACTTGGTGCTATCCCCACCAAAGCGGGAAAACCCTCACCATGGGCGGGTTGGGGCTGCATCCACAGACCACACATAAGATGTAGTGATGTTCTTAACAATACCAAAAACACTTAAATTGTCAAGCAACTAAAGCATGAGTTTAGGATATCCTCACAAAGTTTATCTGTCTTCTGTGCTCTTTTTCTGATTCGAAAAAGACATTAACACTACAAAAAAAAACATCAACAAATTGTTTGCTAAGGTTTCCATCAAAATATAAGGGAGTTCTTGATGCCTGTTCAATAACATATCAAAATTCCATGGTCTTTATGATCACCTAGCTGGAACATAGACTTTAGGGTGAACCGGATCAATAAGCAAAGGAACAAAGCTGCTTCTTAAACAATGTTGAAATTCCTGCAAAATAGGCACAGTTTATCAAATATGAAGTTTTTGTTCTGATATGAGTAAAAAATTTAGAAGTGCATTTACATCAAGATTGATGTTGCTAATTGTGCATGGTATTTTACCGACATAAAATAATAATTGTACTAATATGATCTTTTCTGTTTTGATGTATGAATCATCTATAAGGAGGGGTGTAATAGCTTAATAGCATCTAAAAATAAAAGAATAATAAAAACAAAAAAACAAAAGAATCATTCTCTTGCTTTTGTATGCACCAAAGTGACGGCCTTAATACTGTGCAATTTGTAACACAAAAAAGGAAATGCTAATGCTATGAACTTATCCTTATGTTACTGAATTAATTCATCATATATAAGGAAGAGGGGGTGCAACTGCTTAATAGCTGCGTAAAAAAGTTATAAAATAACAATAATAATAGAAGGATAACAACAAAACCTAGAAAAAGAGAATCTTTTCCCTGGCTCTTGTTTTTATTCCAGCTTTTNCAAGAATAATAAAAACAAAAGAACAAAAGAATCATTCTCTTGCTTTTGTATGCACCAAAGTGACGGCCTTAATACTGCGCAATTTGTAACACAAAAAAAGGAAATGCTAATGCTATGAACTTATCCTTATGTTACTGAATTAATTCATCATATACAAGGAAGAGGGGGTGCAACTGCTTAATAGCTGCGTAAAAAAAGTTATAAAATAACAATAATAATAGAAGGATAACAACAAAACCTAGAAAAAGAGAATCTTTTCCCTGGCTCTTGTTTTTATTCCAGCTTTTGAAGATTAATATCCCTTCCGAAATAAAAAGAAAAGAAAAAAGATATTATGCACTCACATGGTGAGAAACTTCGAAAAAACAAAATAGCAAGAGTATCCAATGTCCCTATTCCAGCACAACCCGTGACTTACAACAATGATATACACGCAGTGAAAGGCAAATATAAATGAAGAAAGAAGGAGAAGACATTAAGACAGACAGAATCACCAACACTTTCAGCCATCACTACCTCCAAATAAGCCTGACAGACACAGAAAACAAAAATATTCGAACCCCAATGAAAAATGAAAGCATTAAGAAACATTTGCCAATGATGATTACTTTAATTACGGCATGTGAACACTAGATAAAGTTAAAATTCAGTATTATATGGAAAAATAATTTGTAATAGTAAATTTTTCTTTTACAAAGTGATCATAAATTTTTCACATTTTTACTACTTGAAAAAAATTATGATATTAAAAAATATTTTTTTGGTACGATGGTTAGGCATGTAATCACCCAAACATCACAAAGGTACACTTACCTGTGCTTTGTTGCTTCCTTTTTCTTACTAGTTCATCTCAGTGAAAGTTCCCACCTCCAAAAGATTGGCTTTTCGGCGCAGTCTTGGGTTCTGAATCCAATGAGCTCATATCAATCCCACGTTGCTGCTCTCTCTGTGAAAACCCACCACTCATGCATCTCACTATCTCCCCTACCCCAAGAAAATCTCTAGTCAGTCCATCGGAGCCCCCAACAGTAACATTGACATTCTGGTGCAGCTTGGTTTGGTCCATGTTTCCGAAACTTGGGCTATGGTTGTTTTGTGGTGGTTGTTCCAAATTAAGTTTATTTTCATTGTATCCACCATAATGTTCCTCTTGTCCATGCCCACCATATGTATTAATCCCTCCAGACCCACCTCCAAAAATGGAGGAGCCACCACTAGCAAGGGAATTCATTAGGTCATGGAGATTATTTCCATTGTTTTCGCCAAAACCGCTGCCGAAGTTGGCGGCTGCAAGGGGGCGATCCGATTTTCCGCCCCCTGAGGAGGAGCTTCCAAACCCTTTCAGCAAAGAGGCCCCATGGTTGCTTGAGGTTGATCCGATTTGAGCAGCTTTTTGAAGCAGTGCAGTTGCAGACATATGTGGAGCAACATTGTGGTTTTGAGCTGATGGGTTATAAAAAGAAGCGAAGCCAGAACTCATATGATCACCCACAAGATTACCAGAGAATATGTTGGACCCTGTCCCTTCACCACTGCTACCACTAGCATGTCCATTGTTGAACTGATTCGGAATCAGTAAGCTTGAAGATGATATATTGCTGTTGTTATTGTTGTTCGTGTTGCTGCCATTATCAATGCTGCTATTGTTGCTGCTGTTCGAAAAGAAACCGAGATTAAACAGATTGGCAGCAGGAGGGTTGTTTGAACTATTCTGAAGATCAGAAAGTTGCATTAGTCCATGAAATGGCTTGCTTGGAAATAATCCAAGTTGAGATTGGTTTTCTTCATGGCTGCGTTGGTGTGATTCTTGCATGAAGAAAGCAGATGAAGGCATAGTTTGGGTAGGTCTGAATGCTGAACCAACAGACTGTCCCATAAGAGACTCGAATTGGCCTGTCCGAGCACCACCAAGTCGGAGCATATCATTAGGTGTTTGGTTCTGATCTTGAATTGAAGAAACTTGGGGACCCATTTGAGTTAACCCCAAGCTCATGTTGCTGCTTCCAGTTCCATACAAATGGCTGGCAATGGTGCTCAAGGTGGATGGATGTCTTGCAGTCTCTTCAGCCAGTGCATCACAGAAGGCCCTATGAGTGATAAAACTGTCACGCCTGCAACAATTATGAAACAAAGATTATCATTAGACCACATCTGTTGGATAGTAGAAAAGGAAAGAAAAACCTTTGAAAATTTTCTGAATAGGTTAATGGGCGTCTATTGCAGAATTAAGTCAAAGGAATCTGAAAATTTTTCTCATAAAAGTCTAAGTATAGTATTAAAAATATTTAACGACACATAAAAACAAGGCACGGTAACTGTAAAATAATAGTTTTACTGCATTTTGAGATGCAAATCAATGAGATGAGAACCAATCAGAATAAAAAGGTTGCCTCCACCACATTTGCAAGGGAACAATTAGTAGACTAGGAAAATTGGGTTTACTTCAAGTTTTACAGAAAATGTAAACTCCAAATGAAATACAGCTGAGAGACTGTAATAATGGACTCCATAATTAAGAAGAAAAAAAAAATTGTGCGTCAGTTATTTTGAGGAGAATACCTAAAGCAATCTAGTTGTTGGAGAAGAATTTGTAGATTTTGGTGAAAACCTCAAATTTCCCAAGAAGAGAGGATATAATTAAAGGAGGCAGGTGATAGACTTTTACTAAAATTTGAAAATGATTGAACAATCAAGAGTGACCTACCATTTCTAGGACTGTCTATTGAATAAATGCAGCAAAAAGAATTTATGCAATATGTTGAAAACAATCAATCAAACTGGAGACCAATTCAATTAATGCAAACCCATGAAATGTGCAAATTTTTTTGTGCATCAACTACATGAAATAAAAGCAGGCAAAACACCTATTTTGAACTCATTTAAATCATGATCACCAATCTCAGAATACTTTTTTTTTCCGAACACCGCCAGTACCCAGCTTTAGAACTGCGATCATGGTGAAAAAGGACATTCAAATAATTGAGAGAGAGAAAGAGAAAAGGGGGCCGAGATGACTTGGTTTCTGGACTTTCAGACGTTATCGTGAAAAGGGGTACCTGCAAGATCACAGCCCTGATCGCATCTAGCCAAGTAAGAAGAGAAAACATAAACCTGGTGAAATGAACCTGTACTTGCCATGGCACCACGTGAATAAGAGAAAAAAGGTAAAAGAAGACCAAAAAGGGCGATGGTTCCGAGGAGAGAAAAAGATTTTTTTTTTCTTTGTTTTTGAAACCTCTAGACCATGGCATTTTCCAGTGTTCACTCACGTGGAGGTTTTTTTTTCTGGCGTTATCTTCCACCCAGTAACAGGAAAATTCCAAACACAAACAGAACCAAAAATTTAACAATGAAAAAGAGAGAGAAATCAAGAGAAAGAAGGCCCAGCTACGAGAGAATCTGCAACTGTAGAAAAAACCCATCAGAACTTTGCTTCTCTTGTCACTTGAAGAATATAAGCCCTATAGCGAGGAAGCCGAGCTTTTCACTTACTTTCTCTCTCTTTCCTACCTTGAATTTGATGTTTCTCTCTCTTCAACATACCTGTAAACTAACCAGTAACCCCTAACCTCTTTCTCAGCTGTTTACTATGAATTGAACCCTGAATCACAAACATTAGAAGGGCAAAAAAAAGGTTGATTACCTTGAGAAAAGAGTGCCACAGTCACATCTGTATTCTCTAGTACCACATGTTTTTGAATGGGCTTTCCAATCAGACTGCACAGCATATTTCTTAGAGCACTTCTCACACTTNTTTGGAAATAATCCAAGTTGAGATTGGTTTTCTTCATGGCTGCGTTGGTTTGATTCTTGCATGAAGAAAGCAGATGAAGGCATAGTTTGGGTAGGTCTGAATGCTGAACCAACAGACTGTCCGATAAGAGACTCGAATTGACCTGTCCGAGCACCACCAAGTCGGAGCATATCATTAGGTGTTTGGTTCTGATCTTGAATTGAAGAAACTTGGGGACCCATTTGAGTTAACCCCAAGCTCATGTTGCTGCTTCCAGTTCCATACAAATGGCTGGCAATGGTGCTCAAGGTGGATGGATGTCTTGCAGTCTCTTCAGCCAGTGCATCACAGAAGGCCCTATGAGTGATAAAACTGTCACGCCTGCAACAATTATGAAACAAAGATTATCATTAGACCACATCTGTTGGATAGTAGAAAAGGAAAGAAAAACCTTTGAAAATTTTCTGAATAGGTTAATGGGCGTCTATTGCAGAATTAAGTCAAAGGAATCTGAAAATTTTTCTCATAAAAGTCTAAGTATAGTATTAAAAATATTTAACGACACATAAAAACAAGGCACGGTAACTGTAAAATAATAGTTTTACTGCATTTTGAGATGCAAATCAATGAGATGAGAACCAATCAGAATAAAAAGGTTGCCTCCACCACATTTGCAAGGGAACAATTAGTAGACTAGGAAAATTGGGTTTACTTCAAGTTTTACAGAAAATGTAAACTCCAAATGAAATACAGCTGAGAGACTGTAATAATGGACTCCATAATTAAGAAGAAAAAAAAAATTGTGCGTCAGTTATTTTGAGGAGAATACCTAAAGCAATCTAGTTGTTGGAGAAGAATTTGTAGATTTTGGTGAAAACCTCAAATTTCCCAAGAAGAGAGGATATAATTAAAGGAGGCAGGTGATAGACTTTTACTAAAATTTGAAAATGATTGAACAATCAAGAGTGACCTACCATTTCTAGGACTGTCTATTGAATAAATGCAGCAAAAAGAATTTATGCAATATGTTGAAAACAATCAATCAAACTGGAGACCAATTCAATTAATGCAAACCCATGAAATGTGCAAATTTTTTTGTGCATCAACTACATGAAATAGAAGCAGGCAAAACACCTATTTTGAACTCATTTAAATCATGATCACCAATCTCAGAATACTTTTTTTTTCCGAACACCGCCAGTACCCAGCTTTAGAACTGCGATCATGGTGAAAAAGGACATTCAAATAATTGAGAGAGAGAAAGAGAAAAGGGGGCCGAGATGACTTGGTTTCTGGACTTTCAGACGTTATCGTGAAAAGGGGTACCTGCAAGATCACAGCCCTGATCGCATCTAGCCAAGTAAGAAGAGAAAACATAAACCTGGTGAAATGAACCTGTACTTGCCATGGCACCACGTGAATAAGAGAAAAAAGGTGAAAGAAGACCAAAAAGGGCGATGGTTCCGAGGAGAGAAAAAGATTTTTTTTTTCTTTGTTTTTGAAACCTCTAGACCATGGCATTTTCCAGTGTTCACTCACGTGGAGGTTTTTTTTTCTGGCGTTATCTTCCACCCAGTAACAGGAAAATTCCAAACACAAACAGAACCAAAAATTTAACAATGAAAAAGAGAGAGAAATCAAGAGAAAGAAGGCCCAGCTACGAGAGAATCTGCAACTGTAGAAAAAACCCATCAGAACTTTGCTTCTCTTGTCACTTGAAGAATATAAGCCCTATAGCGAGGAAGCCGAGCTTTTCACTTACTTTCTCTCTCTTTCCTACCTTGAATTTGATGTTTCTCTCTCTTCAACATACCTGTAAACTAACCAGTAACCCCTAACCTCTTTCTCAGCTGTTTACTATGAATTGAACCCTGAATCACAAACATTAGAAGGGCAAAAAAAAGGTTGATTACCTTGAGAAAAGAGTGCCACAGTCACATCTGTATTCTCTAGTACCACATGTTTTTGAATGGGCTTTCCAATCAGACTGCACAGCATATTTCTTAGAGCACTTCTCACACTTATACTTCTTCTCACCATGTTTTCTAGAGTAGTGTTTCTTAATTCCAGTGAGGTCGCCAAGAGCTCTTGAAGAGTCATGGTGGACGCATGTGGGCTCAGGACACAGATAGACCTTCCGTCTCACCTCTTTTGTAGTCTTCTGCTTTAGCTTCCAAGGCAGGTTGTGTCCTCTTCTGTGAAGCTGTAGGTTTTGCTCCCTCTGGAATCCTTTGCTGCATACCTCACACACAAACCTGTTTGTAGCCATTAGGGTCTTGGGAGATAGCGCAATAACCTCTGCATCTGGATCTGTTATGGTAAAAAAAGCCAAACAACAAAACAATAGAAAAATCCCAATTATTTGAACACTAAACTGATAGAAAATGACCTTTAGAAAAAACACCCACTTTGATTCTTGGTTGAAGTTTCAAAATTAGGGTTTGCTCTTGAGACCCAGATAATAAAATAAAGATTAAAGACATAATTTATTTTTTATCTAGAGTGAATGGATTGATTCGTGGGCAATATATATGGTGGATCTTGATAAAATTGTTTGATACTTGCATGGAGTTCCAGCTTGATTTCTTCTCTTCTTCTGGGGAGCTGGAGTTGGGTTTGTTGATGAAGTTGGTACTGAAGAATGCTGTGGTTTCATCTGATTTTGATCGTCTTCTCTCATTCCAAAGAACACTGCAGACGAAGAAGCACCAGCCATCTCTGAAGCAAAACCTCTTATCTTCTCTTTGAGCTTTCTAGTTCTTGTTCTTCTTCAGATTCACCAATCTACAATCTAATCACCAACGCCACATGCAATTCAAAATCTCTTATCAAACCTTATCTCAAAAACACCCAAAAAAAGAGAGTAATAATTCCAGATTCTGGGTGTTTTAGGATGAAGAAATCTAAGAAGGTAATATCTGAAAAAGAAGCTAAAACCAAGGCAACATACAGAGGAAACGAATCAACCCATGGCCATTTAAATGAAAATTTTTGAAAAGTAAGGATGCTATGTGGTTCTTCTGTGACTCGGTGTCATGCAGACACACAAACACATACCCACAGCATTTATTTTCCTTTTTATTTTCTTAGTTTCCTTTTTTTTTTTTTTTTCTTTGCTTATATTCCTGTTTCTGCTCAATTCCTTCCAAACCTAAATAAAAAGGAAAATGATATTTAAGAGGAGAGAGAGAGAGAGAGAGAGAGAGAGAGAGAGGGGTGGTGGTGGTGTTCCTGTTCATGCTGCTCCCACGCACCCTAATGTGTCCATATGCGGCTACGGATTGGGTCCACCGACCTGTAGGTTTCAGCATCTCTCTCTCTCTCTCTCTCTCTCTCTCTCTCATTTCGTATCTTGTTACTCACTCCCAGACAAACATCCCTCCATCACCTCCTCCCTGGCACTTACAGTAAAAGAATTAAAATTATATTTAACAAAAATTTCCCAGAAAGAATATTATTTATCCTACAATGACATCCCAAATGTTTATATATATTCTCTTTTTATATGAAAAGAAAACACATGACCGTTTACTGAGCAAGTCCTGGTTGAAACTCTTTGCTGAACCAAGCTTGCATGGTTAGATTTTCGTAATTTGAAAAAGGGTATATTTATTTACTTTCAGGTTTCTTCATTTACCATGCAATATATAATCTGGACGGTTGCATCAGGAGAAGAAAGTGTAATTCTTTTATTTGCCAAAAAGTTTGCAACACAGTCATCACCCACGAAAAGACACTAATAGCAGTTAAAGTTACCATGACAATAACCTGCAACCTAAGTAATATATGTGGCAATTAAATCGAGAAAAAAGAGAGTGAAAAATGTTATGAAAACTCGACTTCTAGCGTGAAATGTGTGCTTTTCGTGTAATTTCAATCTCCTATTTGTGACTGTCATTTCTAATAATACGGTACTTTATGTAATCCAGCTGCAATGTTNAAAAGAGAGTGAAAAATGTTATGAAAACTCGACTTCTAGCGTGAAATGTGTGCTTTTCGTGTAATTTCAATCTCTTATTTGTGACTGTCATTTCTAATAATACGGTACTTTATGTAATCCAGCTGCAATGTTTCTCAAGATGGTGTATAGCTGAAATGACAGTTAAACCATAACTGTGTGTCGTTTTCATGATATTTTTTTTTAAAAAAATAACGTGGTGATGGTGTCAATTTTGTGGGTGTGGGTGATTCCCTCTTTTGCAAGCTTTAGAGCCTCTTGGATGACATATATGATAAGGAGAAAAGTGTCATCCACAAATTTGGTTGTTTACATCTAAATCAAAGAATAATAGACTATAATCAGATTCTAAATATTTAAAGAAAAATAAGGGCTTTGTTGGAACAAGTCGAAAGGAACCGTGATCTAAACGATTCTGGGCTGTTAAAAATACACACTGACCTTGGAGGTAATGGCATGCAATGGACTTTCCAACTGACCTTACTTAATAAGTGTTGGCTGCATTTAAATGAAAGCTATAATGGTGATGTTTTTATGAATAAGAACAAAAGCTAATAAATAATAGCAGATAGTAATAAACAGAAAGCTACAAATAAAATTTATTAACTTGCATATCTGCATATAAGTGAGAAATTAAGGTTTCAGTTACAGCTGATTTGTCCAGATTCATTCAGAGCAACGACCCTTTTGGCCGTCGCCTGGGGGAGAGCGAGTTGAGCTAAGAGAGACCATTAGGTGACAACGCAGCAGTACTCTTCTTGCACTTTGCAACACGAAGACTATAGTCATGCTAAAATATGGACACCTGCACATTCAACGACGACGGCTTCTTCCGTTTTTCTTTTGGCCTTCACGACCCTTCCCTTTTGTCCAATTTCCACTTCAGTCGTCTGACATTTTTTTTTTTGGAACAAATTAACTATTAATTTAACTTCTTAATACGAATATAATATAAATTTGATACGATACGAAATTAAAAATGATATAGGTCGGATAAAAAAAAATATAGTTGGTATAGTAAAAAAATAATTACTTTATTTTTTATTTCTTTCTTTGATAATGTGTGAAAATTATTTAATCAACTAGAATGTTAACACGAATATCATATGACTAGAACTAAATATACCACCAAGAAAAATTGATGCAGAGAAGAAGGTAGAAATAAGAGTATAATAAAGAAAGAAGGTAATGAAACTAAACCGGTTATTTGTGCATAAATACCGATTTAGGATCCTAGGCTAGGCTTGTTGATTCCCAAAGAGTATTAGTCCTAAATGTTTCAATAAATCTATTGATTCTTAAAGAATACAAGAAAAATTGGAAATATTTAAACCCCCATATATTTATACAAATTCATATTGTGTATCTTTTCCTGAATGAGTATAAGATGACGGAAGAATAAGGGAAGATATGGTGTGCTAGAAGTGTTTTGTGTATTGAGTAGCATATTTGGGTTAAAGTTTAGAGAGAATAGTATGATGTTGTCTCAGTATTTCAGCCATAAATTATTATTACGAACTTAGATTGATTTGAAATTTTGACAGTAAAAACTAGATATCCATAGCTACAAAAATGTATTTCACAAACATTATATGAATCAATTTCTAGATAGATCAAAACTGTGTTGGAAGCTGATGCAGCTAACTGCATTTATGTTTGAATGCAGATGTCGTTTGAAAGCCAATTAGTCCCAGTAATTTGTTGTCTGACAGAACTTCTGATAGAAATTGATATACCGGGAGTTTAGGATGTTCAAACGAAATTCACGTTCAAAGTCGTGTTTGAACACCAACCTCATGTTCGAACGTCAGAATCATTTTAGAAGCGATCATACTCGCGTAAACTGTTCAAATTTGAACCCCATAAATATCTAAGAATGCCCCCCATAACCCTATTTCTATACTTCTCAACCCTAGAAACTTTAGAGATTGGGAGAGAATGAGAAGATGCAAATATTTGGTGGGGTTTACATGTAGTAATTGGACCAAAGAGAAGGGTTTTCACCAAACTACAGATTAAAGGTAGGATTCCTTTCTCAAATCTAACATTGAGGCTAGGAGTATTATGTATATGTTTTCAAGTCCTAGTTATATGCTAGATATATTATCTTTGAAGTTTTACTCAAATTACAGGAAGTTTTTCTTGATCATAAATGATTTCTATTCAAGTTCATCATTTCTTTACCAAAAACCCTAGTTCTTGAATTGCAACTCATGTTACACATGTTCTATGTTAAAGCTTGCACATTCTTGATTTCTTAAGTTTTATCTTTTGCTATGAACCATGCAAATATTGTTTTAGAAGATCTCTTGCATGTTTCTATTGGACTTATTTCTTTTGAAGAATTATGAAATTGTGGTTCTTGAGGAATGAGTGGTTTCATGGAAATGGTGGAAATTATCCCATGTATGGTGGGTGTGATTAATGTGGGTTACAATCGACCAGCTATCGTAGAGAGATTAGATGAGTTTCTTATCATGAGGGGTTTAAAGGGTTCTTAACACTCACAGTAGGATTGGTGCCTTGAGAGGGCCAAACACTATTCACTCACGGTGATTAAGGCAGAGGGTTAATATACTATTCTTGGAAAGTTACGTTAATGTTGATACATAGTTTATGCATTTCTTGAAAACATGTCATCGTTGAGATGATAGTAATTATGGTGTGTGTGTGGGTTAAGATATCCTCTATATGTAAATTCATGTTAGCCAACCTGCAGATATGCATGGGATATATGTTAATTTGTTGAGTATTCTGTTAAGAGGTGGTATGGTTCATAAGAAAATTGAACTGATATGAGATAAGCTCAATCTTTTTGGGAAAACTCTTCATAAGATAAGATAAAAATCCTTCAACAGGATGAGAAAGTTGAGAGGATTGACACTTGAGAGAGAGATCCAGGATCTGAGGAAGGGACTGGAAGGGAAGCAACTGGACTAGACTGCTGATCTTCTAGAGTAGTCTGACCCTGGGAAACATATTTTTTATTCTTGTTTTATTGAAATTCTTACTGGAAACCTGAGATCTTCTTAATGTTACTTATTTATTTCAAAAAATATTTATATTATTTTGACAATGGAGACTAACCGATTTTCATGTATTTTAAAGCCTTGTTGGGTTCGAGAGGGTTTCTCTACTAGGCTTTGTGCTCATCTTAAGTGCATTATATTTACTTCAAATTTTGGGTTTGAGAAAAATCCTGAAATAGGTGAGTAAGTTGATGGGGACTTTGGAGCGGATCATGAAGTGGATATGGACGTAAATGCTTAGAGATAGTTCCATGTATTAGTTCCAAGTTTCTTTTAGGGACTCTGAGACTATGTTTGGAATGTTGTTTTTATTTTCTGCTGCTAGGTATTGTTTTGGTTTAAAGATGTAATTGAAGTTTTTCACTACATTTTTGTGGAAGTTCGTTTGGTTTATTTATGCAATGGTTGGAAGTTTTGATGCTTATTTCACGTATTGATGGTTATATATAGTTGCTCTCATGGTTGAATGTTCGATAGATAATAATGTCTCCTGGGATGTATTTTGAGATGTTACAATATAAAAGAGACAATTCTCTCAATTGTAATAATCAATCCAAAATTGTTGAACCCTAATGGTCTGTTTGGTAAGAATGATGAAAAGTGAGAAGGATGAAAAATAAATGGAAAAGATTTTCCATCCCTAGAGAGAAGGAATATATCTTTCCTCATTTATGTTTGGTATGATGGATGGAAAATTGAAGGGATGCATTTTCTTTTGATTGGTATTGG